TAAATAGAATCTATTATGTAGCAGTGAAAACGCTTAAAGTAGAACGTGTTAAATATAATGAAACTAAACTGTTACACATGTTCCGCGTTATTTTCATTGAAAAAAATGTAATGTTCCATTCTGTAGACAAAATAAAGCGAAAACTTATAATAATTAAAGTTGATGATGAACGATTTATTTGTTATATGCCAAATAATTTTAAAATTGAATAAAACATTTTAAAACCATTTGTTTACAAATAAATAATATGAATAATTTTATTTTGAAGAAATATACAAGACTAGATTTTATAATAGAGTATTTCCTATTGGTATCGATAGACTATTCGATGCATGTAATATTCCATATAAAATACTTATTGACAGTCTACAATAAATTAATAAACCATAAAAGCTCATACGAAGAAAATTATCGAAACACATTGACCAGCCGAGGGCCGTAAGTTTTTTCCTGTAAAGAACATTTCGACTTTTGTAGTTTGAAAACCATAGACACCATAGGCCGGTATACTATAAAAACTTATAAGTTTTATGATGGAATATTTCCTATTGATACTGATAGACCTTTCGATGTATGTAATTATACATAAAGTACTATTTACAATCTATAGTAAATTCATCATAAAAATTTATACGAAAAAAACTATCAAAATACATCGATCAGCCGAGGGCCGTAAGTTGTTTCCATAAAAAACATTTTGACTTTTGTAATTTAAAAATCATAGATATTTATAGGCTGGTATTGTATTGTTACCAATAATATTCCAATATGTAAATTTACTATAGAACCACATAACATACATTGAAAATCATTAAAATCAATAAGAGCCCCGATAGCCAAACCTGAAAAGACAGATTATGCGCAAAGTCTGTTATAAATTTCTGATGCTAGAAAGCTAACAGATTGCTAATAGATTCTGTAATATCTGACAATGTTTGCAAACTGTTGCCAGAAACTTGACAGAATCTGTTGACATTCTGTGCCAACAGATTGGCAGCAGAAATCGAGCAGACCCTGCTGCAGTTTGCCGTCAGATTGGCGACAGAAAGCGAGCAGGACTTGCGCGACACAATTTGATGACAAGATCTCCTCAATTTCTGTTGTTGATACATTCTGCTGACACAGAATGTCAATAGATTCTGTCAACAGAATGCAAGCAGAATGAGATCTCAGATGAAATCAGTCTGCTAACATTTTCTAATTAAATCTGTTGCCAGTTTGCCAACATTCTGCTAACATTTTGCTAACGGGGAGTTTAATAGGTTAAACACTATAGAAAATTATACTCATAGAATCTTATTAAGAAATATAGAATTTCTATAACCGTTCTCATGCTCTCCTGTAGAATCTATTGAAAACTATAAATACAAATTCTATATATTCTTATAGTTTTCAAAAGAAATTTTTAAGCAGCGGCCATTGTTATCTGCTAACAAAATGTGCAACATGATGTAGTTTTAAATGTTTAAAATGTGTTATAAACGCAAAAACAGGAAACATAGATAAAAGACCAGTAAGTATATATTGTAGTATTTATTCGTATTTGCTTATCGCATATTTATTTGACAAAAAATTGATTTATTTGACTCCGTAGGTCTGCAATTTATTGTAAGTAATTAAAGTTAAATTAGGTTAACCGGTGTTTCTCAGTGAATGCGACATTGTTGTTTAATTTATTATAGATTATTACAGGCTGTGTTTCAATATTCAATGCGAACTGAAAATCTATGGTATATATAAAGTAGTTTATTAGTATATAAATATATATATATATATTTAATGTTTGCATTGAATATTGAAAACACAACCTATAATAATTAATAATTGTTACATTTGAACAACAATTTCACTTCATCTTGTAAATACTGCTTAACGTAATTTAACTTTAATCAAGTTACAATAATCAACTCACTTACAATAATCAACTCACAATGCCAGATAAATATATGATATGTGTAGCTAATATGTGCAACAAATGTACAGAGCGTACGTAAGATATGACCTATATCTAATCTCAAAGGATTAAAAATAAAAATGAGAGAATTTTAAAAGAGAGAAATATAAAAAAATCTACACAAATTATATACATTTAATGGCAACAACTTCTTATGAGGATATTATAACTGTATTCCGTTAGTAATTGCTAGAACTGAAAATATATATAGATTAACAGAATGCAATTATAGTATTCTCACATAACAAATTTAAATTGCTTTTATATAAAAATTCATTAAGATTTTTCTAATAATTTATCAATTCGCACTTTTTATATAAGTGATGAAACTATTATGATTGTGTGTGTGGATCTAATGTATTTTTGTCTTTATTTTACCTTCTTACTCTTTTTCAATTTATATCCATTTCTTTTTATACCTAAAAAGTAAATTCTTCTACAGGAATAAATTCAAGACTAATGTACATTTCTATTAATGTAGATTAATTTTAATATTGGTTTAACTTTCTTTTTGTCTTTTTTTTAGATTTAAAAATTAAAAAAAGATACACAATAAATTAAATTGAGATTAAAGTTAATCTACATTAGTAGAAATGAATATTAACTTTATTCCTGTACAGAATAATTGTTTAATCAAATTGACATCAAACAGACATCATAATGACAAACAGAATCATTATCAAGATATGGGACGTTTTGCAGTCATGTAGCCATCATTTTGCCATCATTTTAATCACTCTTTTTGACATTATATTTCTGATCAATTCAATGACACATTGACATTACTTTGACTAAGTTGTTTTCACTGGGCATGCATACACTTTCTAACGCAAAAACAAGGTTTCACATAGGTTTACAATTGTTCACAATGATATTTAATTAACACTGTGATACGCTATTTGGTATTATACATTTATTTCATATTTCGTATTATATTTCCATCGTTTCATATTTCGTTTACAACACGCATCAGTGTTGCCACAGCATGCGCACGTGTATGCGCATGCGCATGCTACTGTTTCGATACATTTAGGGTGCGTTCCTTTATTCACTCCGAATACTATCAATACTACGAATAGCGTTCCGATATAGAGAGTGCACTACGAAAGTACTGCTTTGAATTCTATGACGTCATTGATTTTGACGTACTTCCTGTTGTAGCTACTGCAATCAGCGAGGTAAAGCAGTCAGAACACAAAGATGGCTGTTTCCAGATGGCTGAAGACTGAAATAACCTTGATTGATGCTGAAGAAAATAAATATATAATATGAAATA